AGTATTTTTAAAAAATCAAGTCTCTATTTTTTAAATTTTATTATCTTTAAAATATTTTTATTGATTTTAAAAAGGGAGGATAGATAGAAACATTGATCAGCTGCCTCCTGCATGCCCCCTACTGAGGATCGAGCCCACAACCTGGGTATGTGCCCTAACAGGGAATTGAACCAGTGACCACACTGACCAGGTGCTTTATATACTATTTTTAAAGTTATCTTTGATCTTTCTATGCATTACTTTACTGTAAGATGTGGTGGAAGATAACCATATACTAATAGTTGATGAGGTAAAGTATCCTTATGATTTCTGACAGAAAGGGAGGGGAAATATATAAACAGATCAAAGACATAATTTCAAGTGTTCTATTTATACCCTAATTTAGATATGCTTGTAAAAAAATTCCTAAGAAAACTTTGGTAACTTAACACTAGATATTTAATAATACATTATTTTGTAAGGTGTGATGAGTATATGGTGCTTATGTTAAATTTAGATGACTTGCTATGTCTGAGATTTGCTTCAAAATAATTAGAGAGGTGGATAAGAACTTGATGAAATAAGATTGCTTATATATGGATAATTTTGGAAGTTGGGTGATAAATGCAGGATCATTATGATTCTTCTGTACTTGTCCAAACATTTTCTTACAGTAAAAATAGAAATTATTTTGACTTGAAATACATTTTTTGTTTTTTTTTTCAATAGGACATGATTTATCTTTTTAATTTATTGTTGAAAGTATTGCATATGTCTTTCCCCCCCATTGACCTCTCCCCAGCCGCTCCCACTTCCCAGCATATACCCTCACCCCCCTACTGTCTATGTCCATTGGTTATGCTTATATGCATGCATACAAGTCCTTTGGTTGATTTCTAACCCCTTTCTCCCTCCCCTGCTTTCCCTCTGAGGTTTGATAGTCTGTTCGATGTTTCTATAATAAATACATAGTCTTAATCATTGAATAGTCTATCTACTATAATTCATCTGTGGTAATTTCTGTGCAAAAGCTGGGAAGTTAACTCCAAACCCTAGCAAATCAAGGTTCAGGGTCTCTGTGATTATTTGCCTTTGAAAAATTAGCTACAAATGATATAAAGATAATAAATATTACGTTCTTTTGTGAGTAGTAAATAATGTAAGTTCCTAACATATTCTACCTTTTATATAAAATTTGCTTATATATACGTTAACCCAATTTAAAATTAGAGTAATGTATATGTAATACCTCAAAATTTAACATTAGTACATATTCTAATAGAACATAAATGTGACCAAATAGTAGGTTTCCGAGAGCATATTTCAGACCAGAAAATATAAGTGTTGGAACTAGAACAGGTTTGATACTGTAAGTCATTTCTAACTACACAGAAAAGATGCAGAATGTAAAGTTTCCTTTTTGTTTATTGATTTATTTTGCAGGAATCATTGACTTTCCGAATATGTATTGTTTGGAGGTACAATGCATGCATAGCCTTTTAAATTGCCTTTGTACAATTTCACTTCAAAATAATTTGATTCACAGCATACACAGAAATCTAAGAGTCATGGTATTTACAAGATTTAATAAGTTCTTGCTGTTTTAATAAAGAAATGGATAAATTCTTTTATAGTAGGAAAACATGGACATTGGGTATCATTAAGAATTCAGAATTGTTCAGTCTCAAAGTAACTTTTCATGGCTTTAAAAATTAAAATTGAGCCATTCTATTAATTTCTGAATGCCCATGCCATGCAAAATCTAATTTTAAATATCTGGGGTTGCACAAGATATAGGAAAAAATGCATTTCTGGTGAATGTGAAAACGTCATCAGAATTAAATTTTACAGTAAGAAAACACTGTTAATTCTCTCAGAAAGATTCAGTAGTGGTGCAACACAGTGCCTAATTTAGTGATTTTTTTAAAGTAACATTTCAGTGATCATTTTTCCTTCTCTACGGATATACAGACACACACTGTAACATGAACTCATTCAAAGTCTGAACAATGACTACAGTATTAAAATAAATCAGTTTTAACTATAAAGGGACATCTTCACATTCCAGGATACATTGTTGATATTTTCAAAGAACAATCTTCCTATACCTTATATTCTTTTTGTTTATACCATCAGACATTACAATTATCTCTTAAAATATTACATAAAACTTGAGTTGCCACAGAAAGCTGGGTATGAACCTTAGATAACTGGGACAAAGCAATGACAAAATTTTAGGGAATAATTAAAATACTAAAATTGAGACCAGCTCCTTAAAAATTACTAAACTGCTCATCACACATCCCATTTCTTTCAGGGAAATAAACAAATTAGCAACACTTCCCCCACCGTTAGTCTGCTCTAAAAACTACTTTTACAATGCATTTCTTTATTTCTTTAAAACCCTGCCTCTACCCTCTCCCAAACAAGGTCATTATCAATTTGAAACATTTTTACAATGCTTATTAGAAAGTTTCTGGGTCCTCTATAAACTTTTAAGACTTACTCCAAAATTTAGGGGGCCACGCACTTTAACAAAATGGTAAATGTGCTCTCCAAAAACCCAGTTTTTAAAACAGTGAAATATTTGAAATGTGTCTGGCCTGGCTGGTGTTACATGGTGGCTAGAGCGTCAGCTTGCCCACCAAAGGGTCTCGGGCTTGATTCCCAGTCAAGGGCACATACCTGGTTCACTCTGCTCCGAGAGGGTGTCTGCATGAGGCAACCATTCATGTATATGTATCTGTCACATGGATAGTTCCTCCCCGCTATCCTCTGTCCCTCCCTCCCTCCCTTTCACTCTCTCTGAAAAAAAAATCAATGGAAAAAATATCCTCAGATGAGGATTAACAAAAATAATAAAATGTGTCGTTAGGTCTGTGTTAAGAAAAAAAGTTTTTAATAGAAACAAGAAGTGTACCAACTGATCCAAAGAGCGTAGGCACCCATCAGCAGGCAGGCAACATCCAATTTGTATCCTACCATTTATATGCCAATTGTCTGTATATATCAATCTAACTAGGAGATCCTTTACCTTGAAAGTTGACTGAATTCTTATTCAAACTGGTCACAGACAAGAAGTAATGGATATATGGGACACAGTTGAATGTATCAGATTTATCAGTATCCAATGATTTTGCTTATTTTAAAAACTGAATACAGCCTATGTTGGTGTATGAAACTTGTGCACAATCAGAAATGAACACATACAAAACACTTCCTTAAAATCAATCTGATGTGTCTTACCCCACCCTCTATACCTATCAAATAGACTGGTTTCTCATTTTCCCTGGCAGGTGAAAACAATGATTGACTAGATATATCACCAAAGGATGGGAACCATGCATCTACTGTATGACAGCAGCTTAGTAACCTGGATGTATGTTCATGCAATAGTTTTAAAGTCATCTACATGGTTTTAATAAAGCATCAAACTTTTCATACATGCTACTTTCATTCTCAACTGCCAACTGCCAAGTTAGCTGCTGCCACTTGAGCATATCACTAAGAATATTGGTAAACCTTTAGCTAAAACACCAAGCAGTATATAGATTTCCCCCTAAATTGTTACTAAATACCAAATGGGGTCCACAATCACTAAAGAGATAATGAAACCATACAAAGGCAAAGATGATGGAATATTACAGAATAGGACTGATAGACTGTTATTGGAGACTGACAGATAATGTGTTACAAAAGCCTTTAAAGGATGCTGTTTTCAGGTCAATGCTTTTAAGTCCATCTGCTTTCTCACCATTGTTTTCACAGTTTTGCCACAGTTGTTGTATGAGAGATGTTTTATCAGTGTTATTACATAGCCACACTTTGTAGAGTGTGAAAGTATGATTTTGATGGAAAACTATGATGATTTGTTATGCCTTTGGTTTCATTATGGTATTAAGTGCAGCTTATTTTTCCAGGTCTGCCAGAGATTACTGCCAAATTAGAATGCAATGACAGCTTGAAGCGTGTGTGTGTGTGTGTGTGTGTGTGTGTGTGTGTGTGTGTGTGTGGTGGATATTTCTAAATTTATAACCCCAGGAAAAATCCTTAAGGATTAGAAAAAATTTCAATTTTATTGCTGTTTATATTTACCCAAATAAGGGGAAGATTCCAAAATCCAATTCTCAACGATGGTAGAATCCTTAATTGAATATCTTATTAAAATTTTTCTAGTGGTGCATTCTAGGGAATCACATGATTTTACATCTCTTCAGTTGTGCACACCCTAAAGTTCTAGTTTCAGACATAAGGAGTGCTTCAGTATCACTTGAACTACTTGGAACAAACTCAGTGTTATTTCTGAATATAGTATGTTAAATTTGAAAAGTTCTTAGCTTCAAAGTCCTTTTTATTCACCTTATTCTTAATCATATTTTTTGACTACCCTTCTCTTCCTCCCCAACTTTATATTAGCCCACTGTAATTTCCCTCTCTGGTTTATGAATGTATGTGCAAAAAAATATTTATTGAACTAAAATTAATTTTTTTCAGCTAAGTTAGGATTATGGCACAAAGTATTATCTGTGCTGTAAACATCACGAATCCCTCACAAAACTGAAAGGAGGGGGCAGAAAAGGCCCTATGTACTGCAAATGTATCTTGTAGAACCACAGCTGAGATCAAGGTTTCCAAATGGATTTTGGAATGGATTTACAATTGGCATACATTCATTGTGCAACTGATAAAGCACAGTTTTACGAGAAGGTTATTCATAAAATCATACTTTGTAAGGACTCGTTTGTTATTTTTAAAACCAATGACCTAATAAAAGCATGCAGTAACTTCAAAAATATATCTATTATGTGGCGTAATTAGGTCTTGGTTACCAGTGTTGATATAGCTTGAATCATTGCACAAGCAATGATTATACTTTTGACAAAGGGCACAATATGCCTAATTCCTGACTACTGCAAATCACATTTTAAAACATCCTGTTTGTGTGTTGGAAATTACCCCTGAAAAAAGCAGCAATTACAAATAC